GATTTTTTGTCGAGCATAACGTTCACTTCAGAGAGTGAAGCATTGGATGAACAGGAGCAACAGGGACATCCGGATCCAAGTCAGTACCATTCTCATTTACAACCTCAGCCTTTATTAGAGTGTGTGCTAGATCTAGGTAGTTTTTGGTTGAACCAAAATATTGAATTCTATGGAGTCTGCATGGGCCTGCTATGTTTGGCAACGGATGATACTGTACCCATTGTCCTTTTGTGATTGATGTTTGTGTTGTGGGGACATAGAAACGATCCAGTTCAGACTTCGTGCATTTGCACAAGTGCTTACTAATGAATGTCATTATTTGTATTGGGTTGTTAACTATTTGAGTATGTCGGGGTCCTCTTTGCTCGCTTTCTCTGAGCCTTTTCATGCAATACAGCGCCTACATTCCTTTATAAAGGTTTCTTGGGAGGATAAAATTGGCTAGATAGCTGTTGTATAGCCTATGACGTCATTCAAGCTGGTCTGTTGCACTTGATTCTTTGCAACTGTTTTTACTTTGTTTTACTGTTTTTATTTTTTCCACTTAGGGCATCTGCAACAATACCAACTCCTGTTTTCAGGGCCTAGCATAAATGCAAGGCCAAAATTTTTGCACTTTGTTTAATCACCAGTAAAGTAGGTCTAAAAAGTCCACCTAAAATATTTCCAAGTCCATAGCCTTTCTGAAGGGGGCACCTCTAGAATAATTATCCTTACCCCCTGCATGATTTTTGTAATATCTCACATGTCCACCATGACTGCTTAAAACAACAACGGATGGCTTTGCAAAAGTGATGGGTAGTCGTGAGTCTACCGTGTTGGAATACCACCTTTCACCCCTGGCAGTCCATGAATCAATTTGAATGTTCTCAAAGTTTTTCAATTTTACAGACACATGTTGAATATGTGTGCAATGACATCTCCCAGATTTCCAACTTCTGCATGGGAATGATTCTCAATAGTGGCATGCTGACATCCCCCACTATCTGATTCTCAATGATGTCGCAGTACATATCAATTTCATAAAATCCTCTATTTACATCCACAGGTAAATGTCCTACTACGTTTTCATTCACCAACTTGTATTTTAAATCTATCATACGATATAGATAATCATCAAAATAGATGAATGGCCCCCTCTCTGAGTTCCATCTCTACTTTGCCTGTATACTCATCCAGGGTAATAATATTAAGTTTAGCTGTATTCGTCAATTCACTGTTGATTGCATATACATTTCATAATCTATAATTTCCTGTACAGATGTGCAGAATCCATGCGACATTCTAGCAGGGGTTTGCTCTTGACTATATTCGCTGAATGTAAATGAAAGTTCTTTTCTGCAATGTTGAACCATGTGACGGAAAAATGAATTTCACTCAGGGCAACCTCCTAGTTACCAGTCAGATTGATTTGTCTCACCAGATGGGTAATGAGACTGGACAACATATTGCTGGTATACAGTGACTTCGAGAAATTACTAGGCAATGTAACATAAACCTGATTTGATGTTGATGCCACGATCACGTCCTTATTACTGAAGATCCATCACCCAACTATTGAATGATGAAGGAATACCTAGCCATTAAAAAAATATTTGGTCTTTCTGTTTTTCCTACGCTTGCGAATAACATTCTTTACCCGATAGAGGTCATCCATTTTGTCAATCTTTTGTAATTCCTCTAAGTAAAACGTACCCTGAATTTCTTCACCTGAACAATCCTTCAATTTGTCCATGGGCCTTCTTTGATGCCTGCTGCATTTTACTACCATAACTATTTCTTCAGACCATATAGGAAGGTACCATTCTGCAAATATTAATCATTGTTTACTAACCCTGACCTGAGTTCAAATCTAGACTATATGAACTGCTTGTGTTATGAATAAAGGTTCTCGTAAACAAAAACATTTTTTTCATTTGCCCTATCCACTCTAACTGGAACTGTGATAAGAATGTTTACAAGCTGTCACCAGTTGCGGTAAGACATCGATGTGTTTTAGAGTATTTTTGTATGTAAAATACTACTACATCCTGGACTTAACGAGTACAGCTAAATCTTAAAACTGAATGCCCTCAGTTTTGAGAAAATCAGGAATTAAACAATTGGTTACCTCAGACCCTTTGTACGTGTGAATCATTATTAGTGGTCTCCTGCCAGACTGGATATTGTTTTCAAAAGCCTCCATTGGTACCTTTCCTGGTTTTTCATTGGAATGACTCAAGCGTATTTAGAAAACACATTGATCCACATCAGTAGATATCTATAGCCAATGTTATACTTTGATAAATAAAAGTCCAATTGATGTACACAATCTGGTGCCATGGCCACTATGCGGCTTGTAGGATACCTCCTTCTCGTAGGCTTGTGCGGCGTGTGCTGTATCTTCTTTCTTTACAGCCTGATGTAATCTTCCAATACTGCTCAAACCACTTGAGCAGTATTCTTGACCTAAATCGTAATACATGGTTTTCAAATAATGTATCCTGTCCAATGTTCGAGCTATGAAATAATTGTTTACCTGACATCTTCTCCTTTAATTTGAACCTTAATGACACACAATATCTTCACAATAACAATCATTCTGATTTATTCCGATTTTTATTCTCTCTATCTCAGTGTTTAACTATTCTACTTTAACAAGCAGGTGTCTCCACACATCAATGAATTTCACAATTGATCAGCAAACACAGTACCATTAACATTATGAAAGTTTTCAAAAGTTTGAAAAATTGGGTTTAATGGAAACAAAAGTGTTCATATTGAGAGCGGTTTCAGTTATAACCAATTTTAAACATGGCATACTTCAAACGTTTTAAAATATTAAAGTTTTAATTCAGATTGAAATACTTCCGTTCCTCCGGAGTTGTGAATTGGTTGAAATGTTTGTTTTTCAAAGCTAATATATTCCACTCCAATGGTACATTAATCCAGAGACTGGTCAGTGATTTTTTGTAATTGCCTGACTAAAATACTTCTCAACTTTTTCTGGCATGTACGATAACAAACATGAATTTTTAGCAAAATCTTTTTCAATCAGCAGACTACATCTGCAACAGTTTTTTCTTCAAAAGTCATCCATTTTCTTAAGAATACATAGAACACAGATGGATTGAATAAGATTAAATGCCAGTTCTTTCTTTGCAGTACCGGAATGAGTGATCAAACAGCCGTCATCATCTTCATTCCTCTAGGAGTTGATCGCCACATCTGAAGGAAGACTGGAACCCCTCCTGGATGTCTTCTTGTCACCAAGATTTATCTTCTTAAGTTCTTCTGCCTGTTGAAAAAAAATAATGAAAGTCTTCAATGAATGACATTTCTGGTGACATTAGCAAACCATCCCATGAAACCAAGTTCTGTGTGCTTACATGTACCTCCAAGTGTCGGATGGCTATAGCTGGCATCAACTCCACCAGCTGTTTCCACTCCTGCACCCTCACATTGATTCCATTCGGACTGCTCCAGAAATCCCTGTCCTTCTGGAAGTACTCAAGGATCTTATGGAGACTTAAACTGTTGAAAGGCTCCACCACAGCGCAATGTGTTCTCGTTAGCTGAAATCTGGTTGACGTGCTGAGTGGCTTCATTTCAGCTGAGATAGGGAGCACTACAGTTTTGTGAACATTTAAGCATATGCTATTCTAAATGTACAGCCCTACTGGAGTCTGCCTTGGCTAACCATTAAGGCTTTACAGGTTTATACACTGGTGGCCTGTACTCTTGAACTTCATGACAGCTCCCAGCAGTGTTATATGAAGGGGAGGATACTTGCATGTAGAAACTCATTTGAGAAGTCATCTTGAGTACAGTTGGTATCCACTGATCCTTGTTTTGTCGGAATGATAAGAATGAGCAATATAGCAAGACGTTCAAACTCGGGGCTTTTTATGGCCATCTACATTTCCTGAATATTCTGTCTAATATAGATATTTAGGTCTTCCTGTATTTTTTTTGCTCTACATCTCTTATACCTATACCCATTACATAAGATGTCTTTTCGATTTATTAATGGCCATGCTTTGTCCTCTGTTTTTGCGTGTACCGTTGTTTTCCAGTGCTTATGGTACGCAAACGCACTATGATTGGACCACTTAAATAATACGCTTTACTCTGGTTTGACCATTCCAAACGAATGGGACTCTCAAACTTTTTATGACAATCTACACTTCATACATATTCTGTCTAATAATGAATTTGATGTCTACCTTTTATTCTTTCTGTTCTTCATCTCTTCTGCCTACCCATTACATAAGATGTCTTCTCAAACTCTTTACTAGTCATCCTTGGTGCTCTGGATTTTTTAAATCTACCAATGTTTTCTGGTGCTTATGGTAAGCATTGGCCTGTTTCAAATGATGCACTTTACTCTGATAGGACCATTTTCAAACAATACACTCCAATGTTTTTGTTAATCAATCTATCGTTTTGCAACTGTGACCTATTGTTTTTACACTCCATGCATAAAATTCTTTTGAAATGCCTAATAAAGACCTAATACACTACTGTTATATTTGGACATTTTGGCAAATCAAATTTACCTAGGCTGAATGTTTAACCAGACAATTCAAAATAGCCAGAGAAAATTCAAGCAATCCTGTTCTTATGCCTAGCACTGTTATTCAACAATTGGGTGAACTGTCATCAAATTTGTTACATAAATTACTGTTAATACTTTTAATAGGAAAGTATTTCTGAAATGTATCGAGTAAGGTTTAAAAATTCCAAATCCCTTGCAGTGTCCTGGATGGGTACCACTGATCCAAGTTCCCATTGTGACATACACATGGCAAATAACCTGGACCAAGGTGAACCTGAATGTACCACAGGTAAACAGAGGGACCGGTATCTTCATCTTTGATTCAGTACTGTCAAAAATTTACACAAAAGTAATGAATCAATCTATACAACCACCATTTTGTGGTGTTGGTGCTAGTATCACTGTTACATTCATATCTATATTGATACTCACTCATTCACACATTAAGTGTTGTGATTCTTACCTGTTAACGTGAGATGTGTTAATGTACTGTTCTGCAGAAGCATTTCACTCAAGGCTTTCGCTCCTGAGTTACCCAATTTGTTCTCTGAAAGGTCCTATTTGAAATAAAAGGCATAATTTGATTGTTTATTGCAAATAAATGTATTAATATATTAGTCTAAAAACAGGAAACATAAAAATAAGCATTTCATGATAAGCCAGCGCAAAATTTCAACTAATCAAATGTATGCATGCCAACATCTGATTTTTACTACCTGTTAACCATAACACTTATAAAGTGATTGTGAAGCAGAATTCAAACCTACAATTTCTTTGGCAACAGTTTTATACTAAAGAATTGTTATAAGATTAATGTCAACTCTTTGATGTGTGCATGGCCAATAGGATATCCCATCATTTTGGTTCATATCAATTTCTTATATTCTCAGCATTGCTTTGAAGATACCTATCCTCCCCCAACATTGGGTTTATTTAGCTACACGTATAAAGATACTGCTTTTCAGCAAGACCAGTGCATTTGTTCACCTGACACAAAGAAATGCACTGACTCTGTCTTGCTGTGCAAATTTCTATGCAACGAAGGACCGAGGCACTTATTTCAACTAAATCTGAGACATATGCAGTGAGGAAAAATTGCAAAGAATCCTAGACACATATGCGAATAATAGCGATTGTTGATGGAAATGATGTGAGATATGACATTTTAAAAACCCCTTGGGAAACTCTTGGTTTGCCCTCAGGTGATACTTAACCATCGGTCAATAATTGTTTGATAATGTCTTTATGTAGTCATGTGACCTTCTGGTTTTGTTTATGTGGGGCTAAGAATGAACACAGCAGAGCATGTTCTACAAGTAGCAACTCCCTTAACCGATAGCAACTTTTCATGTTGTACTATGGCAGATTGAATTTTTTACCATCTATACAAACAAATTCACCTACCAGATCAGTTATGTAGCAGTTTTCTTTGAGCATATCAGCGATGGCAATTCCACCAACAGCATCTAGCCAGTTATCACTCAGGTTCAACTTACAAATTGTAGTGTTAGTCTGCAACAGAAAATGCAACCAGTCAGTCTCACATCTGTCTTAATAATAATACAGATTATCACCAACACAGGCCAACATTAATCCCAACAAAGAATATGCATATGGCCTATGTACTGATATAAAGACAAAACTAAAATAGCATTGTATTTGGCTCTTGAAATGGAAGAGGATCAGCCAATTCTAGTCCCAGTTACATCTCATTTATTATGTAACTGACCTAGAACTTGGCATGAGCTCAGACACATGTACATAAATACATATGTGAAATTTCATTCCAATTAACCGAAGTTGTTAACAATTCATACACAGTATGTGTATATAATGTACATGTATCACCATATCTAAATTGGTAACCGAACCAAGATGCCAAACAAACAGATTTAGGAAGAGTGCAATCCCCTATTTATCTCGATTAATTAACTCTATGAATTGATCCATGTGATTGTGTCAAATATATGTGTATTTTAAACTATGGTTATATGTATTGTCTCATACAACTTTATATATATATTTCTGTTGATTCAATTCCCATCCCAACCAACACTATATCCCCTATCCCACCCCACCCAATCGCACCCCAACCCTACATGTACTTACCTCGACTCCACCCCCTCCCTGTATTTCTTACACCCCATCCCACACTACCCCAATATCAACCTTTTCAATCCAACCCAGTTTTTAATTCCCTCACGTGTATTATTTCCCTTTTTTTTTACCTTTCTGTGTGTTAAACATACGTAACTGATGATTTATTTTTATCAAATGTGTATTAATCTAACTTAATTATATTTTTGAGTCTAAGTATACATGTAATTTGTATCTTATTTTATAACAGTATTTGTCAAGATGATTTTGTATATCTTTTTTAATTACATGTAATGTACTTTTATTTACTGTCACAGTCTTACACAATTCCGCTTTTGTGGCAAGAAGACTGATATAATAAACCATTTAATAATAATAAAAAAATCCAGAATCAGCAACATTTCCTAAATTCCTGTGTAAGGTCAACAAAAAAAATAAGATTTTTCCACATCCTTAATTCAAAACAAGGAATTTTGCAAATGTGACATCCAGATTGAGCCAAATTTGTGTTCATGGACAAGACAGCATTTAAAACAAGACAAGACAACATTTAAAAAGGCTTACAATCAAAAGAGAAAAAAAAATGCAAAAATATAAAAGGGGAAAGGAGATTCTCCCGCTTAGGTTAACCCTAACGGTCCCAAATCCTCTGATTTCAATATGATTTTACATACACCCTAGGGGGTTAGGTTAGCTTTGAATACTCTTGCATATGAATGAAACTCACATACAATGTACACTTGAATGTGTACTGGGCTACTATCTTCATCACAGCTACATGTAGATATACATGCATCCATCTTGGCTTCTTCCTCATACTATAAATTGGGTACCAGAATAAGACTACCCACAGAGAACAAAATCTATCGCAAGATTATGGGGTGTTATCTACGTTACATGTACATGGACGTACATGTAATAAGTATTACTGCTGGTGGAGTATCTCGATTAATTGACTTACAGTATCATGATAAGTTCCTTCTACTAGTTGCAGTACTCATGGATTTCATTTATTCCATTGGTCAACAAACTTTAGCCTTACAAGAATAAGCTGTATAGCTGACAGGCCCAAAATGTAGCAAAAGTTGCAAACTGCAGGTATACAGGGCTTTCCAGACCTGCCAACCTCTGGGATAATAAAACTCTATCCTGAAAATCCAAAAGTTGTATTTTTCATTGAAAAATGTGTTAAAAAAAATATACCTCCTTGATTGGTTTGACCAACTCTGGATTGGGTCAACACTTCTTCATGCATAAAAATAATCACAACAAATCCATTTACAAGGTTCATAGAATGAGTTGGCCCTTTCCCACCTGATTCAACCACATTTTCAAAATTTGAATTCTTTGTTAGAAAGAATGCACATTGCATGTCCGGGTTCGATTTTCTGGCATGGGCACGGATGTGTCCCACTACATGTCAACGATCCATGTCAATTTCCGTGGATTTGTAACATGAAGATTAATCTTGTTAAAGATTGCATGGAGCCTCCTTGGTCAATTCAATTTCTACACTTGTGTTGTACTGACATTTTGCTGAATTTATGTCCAAAAATTGTTTTAAATCTCCACAAAATCTCTACAAAACCATACACATAGAGCATGTAAATACAATATGATTATTTGCCCCGCACTAGTTGTCACGAAGCACTCTGTTGGTGCAAGTGAAAATTTACTAACCTTTATAAGTTGCAAATTTAAGTTGTCAGTCACTACTTCCGCTGACGCAGGAAGGACTGTAAAGGAGTCCCACTGATACATATGAATACTGATATTTCATTGGCAGCCAATCACAACACAATGACCTGGTCATTCCCAGGATGCTGTTAATATATGAAGCTTGCATTTTGAGCTACGCCAAAAAATGCCCAAACAGATTTGTGCAGTGACACTGAAACCTATCCTCATGGCCGCAACGAATACAGCCTACAGTCTCCCAATCTTACAAAGTGTGCCAGATTCCTGCCCATTTTTGCCAATTCCAAGATGACGTGAGTCAGTCACAGCATGCCATTCACTGGCCAGTATCCTTCAGTCAGTTTGTGATGAATTATTCATACTGCCTTACATATACATGGTCAAACAATGAATGATGGCTAAACAAGGTGTGTGAGCTATATCATTGAAAAGTTTAGCCAGGTTATTTACAACTGCCTAATATGAGAAGTTTCCAGACGTGTTAAAAGTAGTAATCAGAAGGTTTTCCACACTTAAAGGTAAGAATTATTAGATTAAAATAGTTACAGAAAGGTGGGCAGTATTTTATACGGATAGAACTTGTAGCAAGTCACGGGGGCAAGAAAGGTAACATCCATAAGTGACTTACCACCAGCGAGATAGCAATAGCCTTGGCTCCAGCAGGCCCTAGACCATGATGCTTCATAGTCAGCTCTGAGTCAGCTATGTGTCTAAGAAAGTATGAGACAGGTATCACGCCATTCAGTCGACAAGCTTCCTTGTAGGTGGATTTACCTGATGCATCATAAGCCTCACGCACATCTAACATAATTAAAAATGGGGCCAAATTAGATACATTTAAAAAACACATCAAATACAAAACATACATTCATTTTTCTTGAGTAAAAGATGTTGATATGCTTTATTAAAACTGGATCTAAAAAAAATAATTTTCATTTAGAAACTCTTTCCCCGTTTCAAATAAACATCACTGTACAAAGCGTATTTACATTCATGCACTCAATGGTGGCAATATTCTTCAAGGACCACTTCCATATGACACACAAGATATACAAATTTGAAAATGGCTGATTTTTTATTTTAAGTACAAATGTTAGAACATTCTAATTTAATCTGTGAAGTAATTTGTTGTTTTACACAATGTCATGCAATCAAAATTAACATAAAGAACCCAGAAAGTACCAGGTTAAGAAACACTACAGGGACTGCATGCTAACAGACAGGAATTTAATTAATCAGATTGTTACCAACTCGTCAAGTTAAATTAGTTTTCAGGAACTTCCTTTGTGATAAATCTACTTTGTTCAAGCTAGAAACAAACACAAAAACAATGATTAAAGTGCCCCCCAATATTTGTGTAATTTTCAGTGTTTCATCTGGATCAGCACAGTAGTACACGCAGCCTCTTTTACTCTATTCTTGGGGACAATATTAATGTCCTTTGACCTTTTTAAAAAGTAGCTTTTAGAATTCTCAGTGGTAGAGTAACACGGACTATAACTGTTTGAAAAAAGAACTGAGGTCTGTAGTGTCTGTACATGTACATGTATGACAGCTCCAGCACCAGCAGAAACACTGAAGATATGTTTTTCCATTAAGACTGAATAATTTTGAGTTAGAACTGTATAGCTAAGACACACAATGACAGAAGAAAGAACACTTAGTATAGTTTGGGCTTATTATGCACTACAGAATCTTTAAGCCATACAGGTAGGCTTACACAGTTACTCACTATAAAATATTTTCAACTCCTACACAAGTAAATGCTGGGAAGAGCTTGGTCCAACGAGGACCATTTTTCAGTTAACTTGTAATTTTTGACCATTATACATATTTGCTTGTTGTGGAAAGGAACAGTCATGTTGTTCCAGCAAATTCAATCCTAATACTACTGTGATGCTGTGAAGCTGTCCCAACACTACAAACACATTAGCATATGGTAGATGTACATGTAGCTCATCCACCTCAATGCTAGAATTCATGTATGTGTGGATATATGACGGTATGCACCTACATTGTATTCTACCAAATAGGAAACATTTCAGAAAAACCATTTTGCAGAGATATCACACTGGATTCTGGGGAATATCATCAGTCGATTTGATAGTTAGTACTGTGTGTTCTACATGTAAGTCTACAAACGTGAATATTATAATGGTAATGAAGGTATGAAACTCTCTGCTTGGGTTAGTTTGTGTTAAATGCAAGCAAAGGCCAGTGGAATGCAAAGTGTATTCACTGCAACATTCTAAATATTGTCAGAATAGTTTGGGTAGGTTTATTTTGCAAAATAAATGCAAACATGAAAGGCTTTTACAACAAGGTTATTAATAGTGACCTGCAGTGTCAGGAAAATGTGGAGAAAACTGTGGTTTCATATAACAGTTTGCTTAGATCATTTTGACACAAAGCTTGCAGCATTCTTTTACAACCCATACTGATACTGGTTTGGGTGAGTCAACAGCCCTCTCATAAATGTACATATATACTGGTATCAAACGGAGAAGATTCCTCGAGGTATTCACATTAAGGACTGTGTCTTTGATGTTTATTAACTGTCTATTGCAATTGTCTTACAATTTAGTGTGTCCCACATTCATGCTATCCACTGGCCTAGTTTACTGACTATGGTTAATTCAACACAGAATACAAACAAGGGCTTTGGTCTTACTTCTCTTCAGTGCCAAAATGGTGTCTGCAGGAAGAAATGATTGCAGAAACGTGCATGCAGGCAAACAGAAAATGTGGTTTACAAAAAAGCTCCAAAATTTATCGTAAAGAACCCACATGTACCGGTACGGTACTTTCCACACAATAAGTAATCTAGATGTACATGTATCTCTCTCACATGGAAGAAACTTTCTTGTAATTGTAGGCCAAATTATTTAGACTTCATTTCATCAAATGAGAACACTTGAAATTTTAGGTGATATTCTTGGATACAAAAAACCACTTGAAACATCCCATTCTGTAATGACATGTACAGTACATATGGTGTACATCTTCCACTGCACTGATTTACATCCATCCTGCATATCCTGGAAACTGAATTGCATGTAAGGGAAAAAAAATCAACACAAGCATTTTCTGAGGGGGGTGTGTGATTGTGTGTGTGTGCTGAAGTGCTGTGATGGTCACAGACATGATTAACATGTACATCCATGGTGAACTGTGAAGACCCTGCATTGGTTAACAATGCAGCACATAATATAGTCAATGAAGCAACAAAACATGCAATTGAACTTGAATAAGATGGAAACATATCAAAGTGTCATGCTGTTTACGATTTGCATTAATCTACAAATTTTCTGAAGAAGTAAAAGTAAGCATTATCAAAACGATTATGTTGATAACTCATTCTTCATTCTACTGGTATGCATACATTGCAGACCTACATGCAGCTTCTGCACATCAAACTGGCTAAGCAAATCAAACTTTTTCAAGTTTGATGATCTATAAGTAATTCTATCGGGGGAAATCTAACTTACCCTGACTAAAAGCCACAGTTACCACTACAATGCTTCAATCTTGTTTTAGATAACAGTGGATCAACTCCATGCACCTAGTAAGTCACATGTGACCCACTAGTACATGTACAGGTTTAGAAGTATCAAACATGTCCTCCCACAGAGGCATGCTTTAAGTGTTGTTTACCAAAAATAAAGCCGATTTTTGGCACAGCAATCAGAACATAAGTAGTCTGAGTACTGTACCGATTGTCAGCTTTATTTTGGTAAATGACATTTATGACACACTTTGCTATGGGAGGACGCCATGGTTGTTGATGTTGCTACCCAGTGCCCACTACAGGTTACATGACTCACTGGGCGCAATTGGTCTATTCTTGCCTTTTTGGGCTATAATCTCTCAAGAAAGGGACACTTAATCCAGTTTTCACCCAAATAGGCTCAGATGCTTGAGGACACAATGCCTTTGGGATTTGAGCACTCTTCTGGGATCTTCAGGGTGTACATGTATATAAGTGTTGGTTTGAAGTTTTCTTTTTGCAGTGCTGACAGCAACATGCAAATAGCACTGATCTGTGTTCACTGCTAGAGATTAAAGCAGGGGTGGAATAAAGATGTTTGCATCCAATCTCCAATAAGCTGTGTCAATGCAAAGACAGCCTAACACTAGACATCCATCAAAAGGAGGACCTTATCTGCTCTTCAAGGTGACAGTTTGGACAGAGGAAGACTTGAAAGTGGTTTAATAAAAAATTCTTTACTCTGTGTGTTTTTTTTTAGTCTTTTGTTGAATGTTCAAAAGTAATCAGCCTAGATCAAACCTCAGGCTTAGTCGCTGGGGAGAAAGGTGTCATGAGTTAAATTTGATGACCTTCAATACTACGGTATGTCCCTGTTCAATGTCCCCTAATCTCCTAGAACTCTACCTCATTCAAGCTGCACTCTCCTTCAGAGAAATGCCAACCAATATCCGAATGCAAATTAACTGCTCCAAAAATTGCACCACTGCTGGTAAAATGACACATTGTTAATTGGTTCCCTTGGACAGCATGATAAACCCCAAAATTCAAATATTACCCGACACTCGGGGGAGGGGGTGTTTACATGTGTCATTGGTCCACAAACTCCAACTGAAGAATTTGTTACACTGTTATGTCAATGGTGTAGAGTATCGTGAATTGATAAAATGATTGAAATCTCGCCACCGAATGAGTACTGGTTCGTCACCATGTGTTCAATTCAGGCCCAAAATGTAAGATAGCTCAAAATAAGTCAAGATTAAAGACTGGATTAGGATTTGGATCCATAACCAAATTGAGAAGTACACATATATATATCACCTTCAACCTCTAGGTCTGTATCAAAGCCACTGCTCTCGCTGTATGTTGTCTCTGATCGGGCAGAGTCATCAATCTGGGACTCATTATCATCCACTCCAGACAGTCTACTGTCAGGGCGGGCTGTTGATCGACCACCTTTCCTGGTTATTGTCTGTAGCAGGGACAGAGATCAATTGAATGGCACAAGGTTCAGGTGAATGTCGTCAACCATTAATCATCATCACAGATTTACATTGTATACAGACCTTTTTGACTTATAAACCAATTATGCTATCATTTTAATGATTAATCCAGTAGTTCAAACACTAGTACATGTACAACAAAGTGCATCAGGTGAGTACAGTAGTGCAGCATATACTGTACATATAAAAAAGTCTGAGAATGTACATACTGTACATGTACATATGTAAACTACAGTGTACTTCCAGATTGTAGTAGTTGGTGTCTCTAGGCTCATTTACAAAATTTGACTTGGCCTGGCGAGTCTGTGCATACATGTGTATAAATGACTGGCACATTTTATCGTAGCATATTTGCAGGAAATCACATCATAGTCCATAAAATCAGCGTTTATTTTTGCAAAATACAAACCAACTTCATAGAGAAATACTAGACAATATACAAAAATGTCAACTAATGTACACTGTACAAATAAAATACTTATAAAAATCTCCTTTATGCCTTCTTTATGATCTTCCTTTCTTGGCAATTTTGCTGAGAAACTTCCTAAAGAAGAAAATGACAAAATCTCTATTGTGTATAAACCCAACAATGTAAATGATTTTACCTTTAACATTAAAGGGGAAACAATTCCTATAAAGTGATGTAGAGTAGTGTAGCTCAACCCTCCTTGGTCTTGCCAAATCCTCTTGAATCTCTTGGCAGTTTTATAGGGTGTTGGAAGGTTACAGAGCACAGAGATAATGCTATTATTGCTACGGATCAGTAATGAATGTAATTAAACCACATAAATATAACTGTTTATAACAAGCATTTGCACATAGCTTATCAAATTTCCTATAGTATCCAATTTTTACCACTTACCAAAGCCTAGTATTTTAATCAAGAAGTTCCAAAGAGTTCATTATATTTCAACTTTAATACAGTCCTCAATCCTCTAATCTTACCATAATTTTTCATTCACCCAGAAGAGTTCAGATAAGCATAACAGTGTTCGCTGGATTAATCTGTTGAATCAGATTAAATTAATTGCGTTTAAAGCTGTCGGACAGACTTTGTACATGTAGATTTTACAATGCATTCAGGACATCACTACTTGTCATAACACATTTACATTACAAAACTGCATCCCACTGACAAATATGACCAGTAGATACCTCATCAAAATGTAAACACAAGTTGCCAGGATACTGTCAAATAAGGCTTAAACAATTTCAATAAAACTGTTCAACAAATGTCCTCAAAGAATAATTACTGGTACAACCAACTCCTGTCTAGTTATTTTGCCCCAACATCTTAATTCTGAGAGCAGATGTACACTTTAATAAAGTATTCAAAAGGAACATTTAAAACTAAACTTACAAATTATTTTGATAAGTACATGTATATGCAATATCTGCATCCTACTTGAACCTCACAATGCCCAGTAGAATACATTATATAAATCTAAAAAAGGGTATGAGATACATGTACACATTAGCTGCAGAACAAGCTCTGCAGACTGACTGAACTTATTTTCTACAAAATGTTCTTAAAATTCTGAAACTTTATGAGACCATTTTACAATATGCGTCCTTCTTAAAATAAACAGAGGTTTAGAACATGACTTGGTTTGAGCATCCCTGTACTTAATCCATAATTTGAGGAGTCAGCCACAAAACTACACAAATAAAAAACTGTAGTCTTTATCTCTTAGTTTAATTCTGACTTATTCCTCACCCAAACCAAATGTCAGCTTACGATTTTTGATTTAAAGTCTGCAATTTATTGCTTTGGTTGTCCTTGTGAGCCATCTTTTCAGATACGGTACTAAAGTTAAAAACAAAAAGGGGGATTTACCAAGAGGGCGATAGTAGTACGAACTCTTGATTGAGTATGGCGAATACTACATTTTCATCAATAAACTATGCCTAAAGGTGTCCATCTGAGGTAGCTGGCGGCTCCACCTGTTTTCAAAGATTTCCCCTCTTCTTGTATATACTGTCTCTTATCTTCGGCTATCAAATTCAGCAATGAACTTTAACACAGTTGAACTTTACAAATTTTCACCCAGATGAGTTAAAATACCAAAAAATGCATTCTCTACTTGGATATGTTCACATTTTCCCTTCATTTTGCCTCTTTTTTGAAAGGCTATAAAAGAAGAAACTTCTCACTCAGTACTTTTTTAAATGGAGGAGGGTAGAAGACAGCCCTTTTTCTTTAAGACAATAACTGCGGTTTATAAAAAATGATGTTCAATATGGCAGATGGAACTGTACTGTAATGAGGTTACTTCGGTGTCATCACATCTAACAGCTTTAAATAAGTCTTTTGCCAGTTAAATTTGAATCAAATCTGGTACACTGAGTTCTTCAAATTCATGTGAACACCACAATTTGAATTCTCCATACTAAAACCACTGTTGCTATACATGTACATGTACCTTGTGATTCAGGCAAGCTTTTGCAACTATCCGGTTCGCAAGTGACTCGTCACTTACGGAAGCGCTACGATTTGCAGGCTCCCATTAGACGATTGCTGTTTGTCCCATTAACTTCCAGTTCCATGGTTCCATGTACATGGCGATCAGTGTGCAGTGCATGCGCAGTGGGCGCGGTTTCAACTAAGGTGATGTCACAATTACAAACCGGATGCACTCTTTTCAATGGATAAGAGGGGTACAAAAGAACCAGTCCATTTCAGAAATGGTGGTCACTATGTAAAAGCATATATAGCAACAGTGTCTTTAGTTTGGGGAATTCAAATTGTTACGTTTATGTGCAATCAGGTGTCAGTGTACCAGATTTTATTCAAATTTAACTCGCAAAAATGGCTTATTGGCAGCTTAGCAATGCTACTGTACATGTACATATCAGAGTAGACAGGCTGAAAAGTGGAATCTTGGTGAAATCTTCAAAGCTGCAAGCACCACTGTCTCATTCAAGGGAATTTGGCTTTTCAATACAGAGAAAAGGTCAATATTTTGAGCCAAAAGAGATACTGGGGAGAATTTTATATTTTTGTACACTTTCACTTTGAATCAAGAATGGGTAGAAATCCTGTAATGTGAAGAATCATAGCAAGAGTTACCAACCTTCTCCTCCTTGGAACCTACGGGTATGTTTACATTGAATTTGTACCTTGACAACGCAGTAGCACTGAACAAATTTTCCATAAGTTACCTAAAAACTGAACTTTCAACAATGAACACATATGTACTTCAATTTTTTGCATATGTGTCCACTTCACCTACATGTAAGATGAACTCATCTTACATGTAGGGAAAAAAATCATTGCTGCACCAACATACAGACTTGTTAAATTTTATCTGCTAAATTTTCATAGTTCATTTAATTTTGGGAGAAAAATCTGGCCTAAATGCAGTGTTGTTTCCAAGAAAGAATAAGAGAAGGCATGTTATTACATTGAAATAAGGATCCTTTGTGGGAACTCACCGTGTGAATATGCAGATTTATGCGCATTTGAGATAGGGTCAGCGTATAATAGAGTACACTCCATCAACCTACAGTAGTATGTTGAAACATGTACGGTCTTCACGCGTGCTCCAGGTGTGTGCATGAGCTTACAGGAAGTTGAAAACCTCCTTACCAGCTTGTCTTGGCTTTGCTGGTTAGGGTGTGCGTTTTCAAGCCAATAATAGAATGACAATAAGCAAATTGTTGATGCAATGCCTGTTTAAAATGTAGACTAGCATGATCTGCCATGGAATTACCAAGCTAAATGTTATGTTAGGCCTATATTCAAACGGTTTACGTGAAAATATTTTTAGGCAAGGAGGCCAGGAAAAGTGAGCTCGGGCAAAAAACTGCTTTTATGACCTACATGTATATTATACATATATCCACAAGTCACCATAATTCGCGCACTTAATACTTTGACCAAAATTTGTTCTTAAATAAACTAAATTTCTAATGGCTTCATTCTCAGTTGTTGAAAGTTTGACTAAAATCCTTCAAGGAATAATATTATGAAAAAAATCTGCTGTCAACGAAGCAGAAGGAACAATGTTAAACAAGTCAGATCGGCTGTAGTAAAACTTAGGTCACCAAAATTTGTTCACGGACAATGTACGTTATAAATGTTATTTTTTCAGAGTATTTGTAATGCCCTATTTCTGAAAAATTTGCCAGTTAATGTCTCTTGAATGAGGAATTATTGTTTGCATTAATTGCTTGCAGTCTGCAGGGAAAAAAACCCAGTTTTATTGGGCATGGCTCAACTTTCCATCACAGCCTCTTTTTTGTTCACCTAGTTTTTAATTTGTCTCAGTTTCATTTTAAGTTACAGTGAAGCATGAATTTTTATTCTTTCAAATAAGTCATGATAGCATTAATATGAGTAATTGATCTGGATATTATCAAAAAAGTTCTCTTTCTAGGTGTATTTCTGAAAAAAGGGGCGAAATACAGTGCCGCCGAATCTGTGCCCGCATGACAACGGAAATCTCAAAATATTGTATATGGTGCGCAGTGCTTTTTCGATCAGGTTCCATATTTTTTATAACGCCGTCAGTCGTTGGCGGCAGTTGACCGAAGTCGTCATCAGTGCTCGTGTCCAACGTCCAACACTGATTGTGAGTGAACAGTGATCATCTATTCATTTTCTAGACAATTTCAAACAGTTAATGTTTATACTCTGTTAAGTCTGTAAAATAAAACACTTATGCTCTGCAGACGTTTTTCGTGAATTCTCACTGGAAAAGCTTTTAATTCGCACACACATGTAGCCATAGAAAGAAAAAGGCCAAAGTGATTAACGTTGGTGCACAATTTCATTCAGGAATTTCACGACAGGAAAGTTGGATGCGTGAATATTTGTATGCGCAAATTCAGGGTATTTCACGACACTCCACAATACATGAAATTCATGCTGGAGTTTCATTGTGGAGTTTTGACTCTCCAAACTAAAACACAGACGGAAATTCACACAGAATGAACGATTCTCAACTGCATAAGCTAGCCCTGTTTTTTTTCAAGCATCGTTAACTTGTCCTGTTTGCAAATTTGCGATGTACTTCGTAGTGCAGGCATGGTCCTCATAGACGCCAATTAACCAGGCCTACCTTGCGATCATCTCCGATACTGCCTCGACTCTTGGCCCGGCTGGGCGCTCTGCTACCAGCCGGTGTCTTGTTGGCGTTTTCGTCCGTATCTAGCACAACCATATCTTCCTCTTCAGTTTGGTCTTCCGGCTCATTTTCGTTCGACATCTTGGACACCTATAATATTTCAGATTCAACTCGCTAGGCCTACCTCTCTGCAACCTCATGCAGCAGCGTGACTGTTGGAGACGTTTTTCGCCTGTAGGTTTAGGCCCTACCTATTTTCAAGTTGAAAATAAACGGGTCCTTGCTCTATAGTCAGACCCTTGACGGCGTGCATACATAGGTATTATTGTATACATGTGTTGCAGATGGCTCACTGCACACACACATAATTCATGCATAGTATCCGATCAATAGAAAAATGGCGCTTTGTGTCAGGCTTGTTTGTGTTGCTATGGGCCCGTCTCGGCCGCTAATTGATTGATTGATCTCTAGTCTCAGTGTGTTTGGGTGAACTTTGGAACTCCAATCAGTGAAAGTAATACCTCATCGCACAAATTGTCGCGCCCGCCATATTTTTTGGTTTAGAGCTTGCAACGGGTACATGTATAGCTCATTAATCATATCATGGAAGAATCCTTCCTCCATGATCATATCATCGTGCTGTCACCTCGTCCTGATGCTGTTATCGAGATGATTCGATGATGTGATGGTCGGGGTGATCCTTTTTAAAAAAAACCCACATATCTTGTGATGGCTGGATTACTAATTGGGGAGGTTATTCCGCCAATACACTTGTGCTGGGATACTCCCTTTCCCCATTCCTTCTCCTTCAGAATTTAGTTGAGTGCACGCAAGGTCCAACCTCTGATTGCATGCATTATTAAAAGTTCACAGTATTTAGAAAAAAAAATTAAAAGCACATACACAAAGCAAAACAAAAAAGACACCCCCACGAAACAAAACAAACTAAAAACTATAAAGATACACTTAGTACATTTTAAAAATACACATCTTTTATTTCACCCTTGAAGGCAAATACGAATTTGCAAAGCGCTCTTTGCTTTGACATTTGTTTTAGAGACCAACAAATGAAACTGACAATGCCGTGCAAGATGGAGTGCTTGAACACTGATCAAATTAATGCAGGATATCAACTTTGCTCAAAGGAAAACAGGACAATTAAGTATGTTTAAAATGGAAAATAAAATGTACGTGAAAATGCACCCAACAAAACCACTTCATAGTAGGAATGCGGGAAAATATTCAAGGTCATGGCTGATAATTTGTAAAGAGGAAGTTATCATATTTGCCATGAACACTGACTATGTATGAAGACTGGAAAATTTCTCAGTGTCCAAAAAAAAAGAGCTACAGATCAATGTTACAACTTTGTAGGAGACATGCAAGTCCACACGCACATTTTGTATATTTTAAAACCAAAGGCCTTATCAGTGCCATACTAAGCAACTTGTAAGAATAGGTTCATTATGAATAATTGCTTTATTTCACAAATTTTTCAATTAAAATGAGAAATTGGTTGTTAAATGTAGTACACTGTTGAAAATTTGCCCTTGTATGATGAAAGCACTTGACTCTGTCATGACCAGATGGCATGGCAACCTTATCTATTATTTTCACCATGCCAACCTCTAGCTCAGGTTGAACTAAATACATTTACTTAATTTGAAACGAAACTCTTATTACTAAATAAATAAGGATGGACGCCCATGGTAGCCAGGTGTTCAAAGCATAATCCAGCTTGAGGTTTCAATACTACTGGAGTCTAAAAAGGTCTGATTCCAGGATTTTTAATCTGCATCACAATTTATTCTGTTAAGAAATAAAATTTAACTCCTACCATGGGGCTATGTTTAATAGCTCTATGTTCCTACATGTAGAGATTCTATTTCTGATCTGGTTATGGTCAAAATGACAACAAAATGCTTTGGACCATAACCATGAGGCTCGTGTCTATATTACCTTTGTACATGACATTAAATTCAATTTCAGATGATTCCTTTTTAACTGGGATTTTTGAAAACTACTGCGAAAGAAACTGAAAATGTTGTACATATTACTATAAACCACATGTATTGATAGTCTTGAGAGATGTTTTATTCACATCATCGAGAAAATATCATCTGACCTGATACACAAGCAAATGAATGGTAAATTTCACTTTATTAAAACTTGCATATAAATTTTTAGATACAACCAAGATCAGTAAGTGTATTGTAATGAGTAAATGATAACTTCATATTGAATGATTTACTATGTACACGTCTTAAGTGGGATGAGATGCACACCAAACCAACCACAATGACTTTATATATCTCAAATTCTGTATCATCACAACAAATTTAACAAAACCCAGAACCATTCATTTCCAGTTTCTGAATAGAATTATATCAAATAGCAGAAACTTGTTGCTAAGTTTACAAAGAACTTCAAGTTGTTACATAAGTAACCCACAAAATCTCCACTTGGATGTATGTTTGCTTTTTTTTATTTGGCCTTCACAAAATATAGAGAAAAAAATCTTTTCAGCGAACGACTGTGTCATCAGCTTCAAATGCTGGCTCAGGTTGATTTGCAACTTTGCGGAGCCTCTTCAAACACTCAGTAAGGTTGGCAGCTGGTACGGAGTCTAAGTTCTTCAGGGTGGACTGTAAATAATTAAGTGAACATGGAGATGGTTTAGCCATACAAATCACACGGGATGGACACCAATCTGTGGTACAAGAATGCTGAACATGTAAATTCCGCTCTTTATCACATATGAAGCAAGATATGGGATGGAGAGTCCCCCCCCTTTGTGTAGGTCACTGTTTGATCAGAATCTCAGGAATTCTTTGAAGACATGTAGGGGGATGTGTTAGGTGACAATAGTCTAGAGTGTGTATAGGGATCGGACATGTAAAGGGGGTACCCCTGCATCCCATATCTTGCTGGTTTACTTTATCACACAGTGTAAAGCAAGTGAAATGACACTAATGAATTCTTTTCATGACAAACACAGGCCTAGAATTTCACTCTTAAATGGGCAAGTGAATACGTGCATTAGAAAACTACACACGACAACGTGGGGACAAATTAATTCCCCCAAATGAATTTGTTCCCATCTACTGTTCTGCACATATTTTCCTGACATCTACGGTGCCCATACGTGTGAACGTATGTAAACACTGTGGATAGTCCCCACGGTATTCCTAGAAACTTCTACATATTGGGTGTCGCATGAAACTAGTTATCAGTAATACATTAATTGAATCCTTAAATACACGTAAACAATATTATAACAATGCATTATTACAGTGACAATATTTCAAATATAGTAAGACTGTCAACATGTTTATTGAAAAGGTAAATGACAGGCACTTACTGTTTTTTAAAAGCAGTGACTGAATTTGCTCACCTGTACTAGGTTGTCATTGCTTCTCATTTGGAGAAGTGCTACCAATGCTATCTCACTGTCTGCCTGCACAGCTGTGTTCTTGTCTTTGGTATTGCTAACAAGAACAATGACCAATGTCTTAATGACAGACATGCTCATTGGCATGTCCGATGCCTTTGCAATTTGTGTTATCATCTGAGCAGCCGTCATTTTTATATCATTGGATGCGTGATTTAAATTCTGTCAAGACAAAAAGAAAGACATAAATGGATGAGCAAAAAATAAATGATACCCTAAAACAATTAGTTTCAAGTTGCTGGAGGTACATGTGTTTTCAATTTACAGGCATTTGACAAATTTTACACAATTCTGATCTGCACAATGTGTGTACGTATAAAGATACCAAGTTGGAAATCAGAACATCAAATTAGATTTATCCAGGGAAAAAAGCCAGCATGCATAGAATGACTACAATAATCTAATAATGAAACAAATTTCCTTGATACAAGATCCCATATAACAGACTTTATGAGGTCCATTGTGTGGAGCATGGTAGCATAATCATACAGTATATATTTTTTGTGTGATTTTTCCAATGCACAAGGAGAGACACATACCGGTAAAAACCAGAAATTCTTTGGGTGTGCAAGTCAAACTCCTACATCTTCAGCTTTAATGTTTTTTGGGACTAGTTTATACCTTTTCTCTTCATAAAAAATAGTAATTATCTGCAGTATTTCTTCAAAAAGGCTCGCTGTGAAGAGTTGACAATTCTCACTACATAAAGCACCACGCCATTTTTTTAAAAATATACTACATGTGTATTCAAACTGCATGTATAAGCTAATGCACATCCGGTAAATGAAGTCTCTGAATGACGATTATAACTGTAACCTCCAAATGAATTGAGATAAGATGTTCCTATTTGAATAATATCTGAAAAATCAGAGAAAAGGGAGTCACATAATTTTGCACAAACAGCCGTACCTTTACGTTCCTACCCAATGATGCAAACTGAATCATAAATGCTGAAATAAAGCAAGGCTTGGAAAACCTAGAATTTTAACTCCAGCAATCTAAGGTTTTCGTCCGAAATCAATATTTTTTAAAATAAATAATACCCACCTTGACAAGAATAGAGACAACATTGGCAGGTAATTCCTCATTTTTCCCCACCAGATGTTGACTAAAGAATCCAATTGCTCTCAGACCACTGACAGATATAGGTATCTGTAGAAAGCCATTTACAAATGGCATTAAACACATAATATCCAAACACTTCATCACAAAAAGAAGGGTAGTGTAGCTCAGTTGGTATCAGTGGCGTGGTGTCCTTTTTGCCCTTTACTAATGTCATGTGAATTTCAGAACTTTTGCAGCTATCATGAGCGCCACCTGTTATCTGATACCGTCTGCTTTGGTTAGTGCCACGATGAAAAGACGGTGTACCACTGAACACAAATGCTGAATGTCCTTTGTCACATCTCTCTCCCTTCAAGCTAAGCCACAGGGTAGTGTCCGTAAAGTGTTCAGGAGGTCACAGGTTCAAATCTTCCTCGACTTGTCCACTGTTGCTTCATTGTGATTACTGTACTTTTTCTTGCATGGTGTTAAGGCATAGATTTGTTGTTAATTTTAGGATGCATGTTCAGTGTCACAGCCTTGTGAACAAGGGCTCCCAACTAGGGCATGGGTTTTTTAAACATTTTGTCACAAATGCTCCTGTCAACAAGCTAATGGGCACTTCAGTGGTGATGGTACCCATATTATTCATTTAAAAATGACACAGCACAGCCTTGCGGGATCCATCCTACTTCATTGTTTGTTATTGAATGCATGAAATACTATTCTTGAAAAAATCACCAGCCTTCAGGGAAAGTCAGAGCAAAACTTACCCGATCATTGGAGATGTTTCTCAACACTGTTTCCAGTACCAAGGATCTGTATTTATCAGATAAGAGTTTGTCAGGAGCTTCTTTCATGGCAACAGACAGTGCCACGCTCCTTCCATGTTGCAATACCCATATGGCACTAGGATCATTCACTGTAATGGACAGGACCAAAGAAGCATGGGGTCATTTTCAGCACACTGTCCAATTCTTCATTGTAAATTTGCACATTGTTGATACTGGCTTTTGTCCTTCCACTAATGTAATGTTACAAGCACTATATTCTAAATGAATGGCAAAACCTGAATGTTAAACATTCACACCACCCTGACTCAAAGTCCATTGTATCTTGAACCAACCAGTTAATGAAGCTGACCTCAGCCAATGTAGGAATAGTAGGCAGCATACCTCTACCAGCAAACTGGGAGGCTGTGCATCAAGTTCCACGCAAGAAGTCTAGAATTTGTTACTCATTAGCTCGAAGAGAACAATGAAGAGTGTAGAACATTTTGGTGGAAGGGCAAAGCCAACATGAAAAGTTGGCATTGCATGTCAAGACATCTGTAATGCACTAACTAGACGTATATTATGATTTCTTTTGCTTCAAATCTTTAAGCAAGTTTAAATAAAACATGTGCAATGATGTGTCTTCTTTTTGTAAGTGGTATTATCAAACATATACACAACTTGTTTCACAATTTTTCGTAGATAGACATATCGATCTAAGACTTATTAATTTCTTTTGTTCTAACACTACTTACCCAGAAGGTTTGATAGGATAAGAGAGTCCAGTTCCTCCTGGGGTAGTATAGGACAGATTGTACCAACGCAGCCTGCTGCAGCCATACGTGCAGTGTCCTGTAAAAAATAGCTGTATGTTTAACCCTAACACTCCCAACTCCTCCAATTTTACTACGATTTTACATACACCCTAGGGGGTTAGGGTTAATAGGGAATAAATGGACACACTGTGCACTGACTACTTTGTGAATTGGTATTAGAAAAACATCAGGAAATTAACAGGAATTTCAAACACCAGAAGTAGGGATACCTTGCCCAATTCATTGCCCATTTGACATAATTTGACACTAGTGATCTAAACTCATTGCTTCCAGAGATATTACAAAGATTGAACCTCTCTCATATATCAGCTCATGGCCTTGTTCAACCTTTATGAACGCTTCAATGTGCTCAATTTTGTGCCAACTCTTAAAAGTATCTATATTGTTTACAAAGCCTGTGCTTAACAGTAACTTTTGAAGAAGCTACATGCTAAACTTTGAATAGACTGAAACTTTGCAATGTCTTTGGTCAACCAAAAGATTTGTACTTAAATAAATGACACTTATTTTTAAGTTCTAAATCATTAATATGAACCAAAGACAGCGGATACATACACTGGATTATCAACATAGATAATCCATCCAAGTGACGGTGGAGGCAATGTGCTGGTTATTGTAGGAATAAATTGCCTTTGATGTTCCTTTTTTCTTTTGTTTAGAACAAAAGCTGGTGCATTTTTTCTTCCATTATTAGGGGCCTTCCTAAGAGCAAAGTAATGGCATGATTGGATTCTCTGTGATTTTACCTCAGGTACTGCCAGTAACCCTACCAGGGTTGCTGTAATGGCCTTTCTGTTAGCATCACTCATCTTTTGACCACCTCCTCTGATGACTCCACGTATGGCCTGTAAGAATGTCTCCCTGTATCAACAAACCATGTTAGTCATTCCTGATTAAGTCTTACACCAAGTAGCTCTAGTTTTCATGACCACAGCTCAAAACGTGTTTGTGATGTCAAAAGGAAATTTATTTATACAGTGGAAGAAACAGAATGCATCAATAACTGAAAAACAATGAAACATCTTATTCTGTAAGTTTCATTTTACCTTTGAAATACCGAGTAGTGACAAAGAATTAGGGACTATAGCTAGGGTTTTACCAATTTTTGACTACTGCAATGTTTTCATATGCCTTATTTTACATCCGAGGACTGATTACAGCCTAGAATCCTGGCTCCCCTGAATCCATTCAATGTACATCCGGGTAGTCAGGGCTTGCCCTTTATTTTTCTTACAGTAGCCCGCCTGGCTAGTAAATTGTGATTTTTACTAGCCCGCAGAGATTTTTACTAGCCCATGAAATGTGTGAAAAAAATAATTAAAGCAGGTTTTTGACTTAAGAAGGTTGGTCCACCAAGACGTTTCTATCAACCGCTATCACATGGGGTGATAGAGGTTCGTGGGTAGACTGGTTCCTGTTCCCTACTCACTTCCCCGGCATGATTGTCCAATGAGGGGCTTGCGATCAGAGGTACAATGAAGTCACTTACGAACCAAACTGCACCAGTCTATGGGCGCAGTATCGGTTTTTGGTATCTGGTTCCCAATATGAATTATATGTTAATTATATTGGTCATGTATAGAGGTCACTGACTACTGGAGAAACTATCGTTGATGCGTTGATGATATTATTATTATTATTACTAGGTACAATGTACACGTAGTCCTAGCACACAATATGGGATTCCAGGTGTGAGTCAGAAGTGATGTTGGGGTTTATTTGATTCCAATGAAATAAAGTTACATTCATGACAAACAAAAGGTAAAGCTTTGAAATCAAGACTTTTTAAAATTTTCTTTAATCATATCAGAAAAACAAACAACGTGTACATATTTTAACTCGCCTGAAGGACGACTGAGGGAAGTGTTTTGACTTGCCCGTGACTGTTTTTACTCGCATTTGGCTAGCGGGTGACCTCTAAGGGGAAACCCTGGTAGTGCAGTATTTCACTGGATGAAGACTGTATGGTTTATCCACCATTCCATTACCTTGGGACTGATATTCAGATAGTCAAATTACTACAAAGTGTTGAAACTGAGTGGACTCAGGGGTTTTCTATCCACACATGGACTGGGGCTTAGGCTTGTTGATTCCCTCAACCAGTAGCTGGTCTCACCTGACTCCTATGTCACTGTCTTCATTCTTCACACCGGTATGTAGCTCTGTAAATAATGGATCAACCCTGGCATGTATGATGACTAGCTTGGAGAGAGCTGAGGCTGACTCAAGGCGTACTGCCCGGTTGGTATCAGACAATGCTCTCAGGAAAGTGGTTTGCAGTTGAGGAAGGAAGGGCTTCAGGAGAACACCAACCTTGGAACACACAATGGAGTATTATCAATCAGACTAGTAATGTTAGTACAAAATGTGAGAAATGTCATCAGCTATTGGCAATCTATCAACTGTCATTTATCAATTTCTGTATCTGGTCTCAACACATTACTAACAATATTAAAGTACATTATGATTATCATTATCAAAACAGTTTATGCTTGTTACCATACAGTCACAAGACACGAATGACTGCTTTCCTCAATCCAAAGAAAGCAATGAAGGGTGCTGAAGAGGCTTTTGGTTCTTTCAACTTATACAGAGACAAAAAAGACTGTACGTTTGACACCTTCAGGATAGGGTAAACAATGATGTTGATGGGGACCAACCTTTCCAAGCAGCCGAGTCAATGTCTGCAAGATGGCTACTTTCAAAGTCCAAGTGTAGCGATCACCCAAGACTCGGATCAATGGTCCAGTGATATTGACCACCTGTGACTTGAGTGCATCATTGCTAGTCAGCTGAATGACCTGGCCCAATCCTGATGCAGCTTGCTCCTTCAGTTCTTGGGGTCCATTCAGCAGAGCTTCTCTGAAGATGGGTAGGATTGGAGAGATTCCTTTCTTGGGCAGGCAGAATCCTGGCAGCTCCTTGCCATGTAGGCCTTCTGAGGCATAGCGAATGGCCTGGCGAAGGGAAGAGATGTGCTGCAGCTGGTCAGCTGAAGACAGACTCTGCATTAGAACAAGGAGAAATACAGGACAAAATTGTGAGCCTAATCTGAAAATAAACTGAAAATCTCAAATTCAACTGAATATGGATGATCTACTGGTGTACAAACAAAACATAAGAAATTCACCAGCAATGATTTTCAAATATCTCAATCTAAAATTTAAACGTCTTGATAAGTACTGTCAATATTTACACATGAGAGAGTTGATCACGTTTGTAAAAAGGATTCTGTTTGAGTGAATATAAATGCTATGAATGAGGAAAAAATGCCTAATGTAATGGTTGTTTTGATGAATAGATAGATTGGTATTCCTACCTTAGTGACTGCATTGAGTGCATCCCAGGTAACATCCAACACACTTTGGTCTTCATCCTTCATCAGAAATATCAAACTTCGTAGAAGTGCTGGGACGAACTGAGAGTAGTTGACTTTTGTCTGACTGCAGTAAACAAACAGAATGGTAGCTGCAGCTCGCCGCACCCCAGCGCTAGGGCTCTTGGTGGCAGGTAAGATCTCATCCATGATAATCTGAAGACCTAACTCATCCTTGACTGATAGCACAACAGTTTGGCAATGCTGCAGCTCCTAAAAATGGGTCATTTAAGGACAGTAAAACCATTCACATTTCTTGTATTTTTCTATGATTTTGAAGAAAAGAATACTCATGAGATGTTACAAATGAAGTTCCTGCTCCCAAGCCAATTCAAAAGACATTAAACGTATTAATACCAATGCATGTATTTATGATACAAAGCTCCTATTCAGGATCTCTATTTCTCAACACTTGCAAAGAATGGACTATCACAGGAAAAGACCAAATGGCTGATGGGACTTGCCTCAAGCTCTTGCAGAGTTCCAACACTGTTTTTCAGGGCATCCATTAAGGCAGGAAGAATCTTACTGAGGTGTTTGGTAAGTGCTTCACCAGCAACTTCAGAGAGGATGGCTAAAACTCTGGTATTGACTGGAGGTTGAATCATCTACAGACAAATAAACACAATGCAAGACTGACAAGCAAATCAGGTACCATTCTTCCAATCTTCCTTTACTGGCATTATTGGGTTAATTTGACAGTGTCTGCAAAAGTGAACTGTTTAAACTGTTCACTGATCAAAATTAAAAATGGTCACACTACAAAAACTGTTAGCAATTGAACACATGCTGAAAAAAATTCATGAAGACACAATTTCTATCCTGATGTGCATACTATCCTTTTTGTTTGCCACAAGTGTTTAATTTCAAAGATGAACCCGGTTTTATATAAACTTTATTTTACACATGCAAACTTCTGACTACAAAGAGTCACGGGACAGATTACTAAAAGGCACGAATAACATATATATTTGAAGCAAGGACCCATCAAAATGTTTTGCGAGCAATGGTTAACATAGTCAACTGACGAGTGACTATACCTTCAGCTGGAAGTCAGGGCTCATGTTTTCTCCTCATACGCTCTTGGAAATCACTCAGCACACAATTTTTTAACTACATCAGTGAAGGCTATTCC